GGGAGTTATATAAACACACACTCAACCAGACGTATGTTGGGGAGTTATATAAACACACACTCAACCAGACGTATGTTGGGGAGTTATATAAACACACACTCAACCAGACGTATGTTGGGGAGTTATATAAACACACACTCAACCAGACGTATGTTGGGGAGTTATATAAACACACACTCAACCAGACGTATGTTGGGGAGTTATATAAACACACACTCAACCAGACGTATGTTGGGGAGTTATAAACACACACTCGTATGTTGGGGAGTTAACACAGACGTATGTTGGGGAGTTATATAAACACACACTCAACCAGACGTATGTTGGGGAGTTATATAAACACACACTCAACCAGACGTATGTTGAGGAGTTATATAAACACACACTCAACCAGACGTATGTTGGGGAGTTAAATAAACACTCAACCAGACGTATGTTGGGGAGTTACATAAATACATACTCAACCAGATGTATATTGGGGAGTTATATAAACATACACTAAACCAGACGTATGTTGAGGAGTTAAATAAACACATACTCAACCAGACGTATGTTGGGGAGTTATATAAACACTCAACCAGACGTATGTTGGGGAGTTATATAAACACACACTCAACCAGACGTATGTTGGGGAGTTATATAAACACACACTCAACCAGACGTATGTTGGGGAGTTATATAAACACACACTCAACCAGACGTATGTTGGGGAGTTATATAAACACACACTCAACCAGACGTATGTTGGGGAGTTATATAAACACACACTCAACCAGACGTATGTTGGGGAGTTATATAAACACACACTCAACCAGACGTATGTTGGGGAGTTATATAAACACACACTCAACCAGACGTATGTTGGGGAGTTAAATAAACACACACTCAACCAGACGTATGTTGGGGAGTTATATAAACACACACTCAACCAGACGTATGTTGGGGAGTTATATAAACACACACTCAACCAGACGTATGTTGGGGAGTTATATAAACACACACTCAACCAGACGTATGTTGAGGAGTTAAATAAACACACACTCAACCAGACGTATGTTGGGGAGTTATATAAACACACACTCAACCAGACGTATGTTGGGGAGTTATATAAACACACACTCAACCAGACGTATGTTGGGGAGTTATATAAACACACACTCAACCAGACGTATGTTGGGGAGTTATATAAACACACACTCAACCAGACGTATGTTGGGGAGTTATATAAACACTCAACCAGACGTATGTTGGGGAGTTATATAAACATACACTCAACCGGACGTATGTTGGGGAGTTATATAAACACTCAACCAGACGTATGTTGGGGAGTTATATAAACACACACTCAACCAGACGTATGTTGGGGAGTTAAATAAACACACAACCAGACGTATGTTGGGGAGTTATATAAACACACACTCAACCAGACGTATGTTGGGGAGTTATATAAACACTCAACTGGACGTATGTTGGGAAGTTAAATAAACACTCAACCAGACGTATGTTGGGGAGTTATATAAACACACACTCAACCAGACGTATGTTGGGGAGTTATATAAACACACACTCAACCAGACGTATGTTGGGGAGTTATATAAACACACACTCAACCAGACGTATGTTGGGGAGTTATATAAACACACACTCAACCAGACGTATGTTGGGGAGTTATATAAACACACACTCAACCAGACGTATGTTGGGGAGTTATATAAACACACACTCAACCAGACGTATGTTGGGGAGTTATATAAACACACACTCAACCAGACGTATGTTGGGGAGTTATATAAACACACACTCAACCAGACGTATGTTGGGGAGTTATATAAACACACACTCAACCAGACGTATGTTGGGGAGTTCTATAAACACACACTCAACCAGACGTATGTTGGGGAGTTATATAAACACACACTCAACCAGACGTATGTTGGGGAGTTATATAAACACACACTCAACCAGACGTATGTTGGGGAGTTATATAAACACATACTCAACCAGACGTATGTTGGGGAGTTAAATAAACATACACTCAACCAGACGTATATTAGGGAGTTATATAAACACACACTCAACCGGACGTATGTTGGGGAGTTATATAAACATACACTCAACCGGACGTATGTTGGGAAGTTATATAAACATACATTCAACCAGACGTATGTTGGGGAGTTATATAAACACCCAACCGGACGTATGTTGGGGAGTTATATAAACATACACCCAACCGGACGTATGTTGGGGAGTTATATAAACACACACTCAACCAGACGTATGTTGGGGAGTTATATAAACACACACTCAACCAGACGTATGTTGGGGAGTTATATAAACACACACTCAACCAGACGTATGTTGGGGAGTTATATAAACACACACTCAACCAGACGTATGTTGGGGAGTTATATAAACACACACTCAACCAGACGTATGTTGGGGAGTTATATAAACACACACTCAACCAGACGTATGTTGGGGAGTTATATAAACACACACTCAACCAGACGTATGTTGGGGAGTTATATAAACACACACTCAACCAGACGTATGTTGGGGAGTTATATAAACACACACTCAACCAGACGTATGTTGGGGAGTTATATAAACACACACTCAACCAGACGTATGTTGGGGAGTTATATAAACACACACTCAACCAGACGTATGTTGGGGAGTTATATAAACACACACTCAACCAGACGTATGTTGGGGAGTTATATAAACACACACTCAACCAGACGTATGTTGGGGAGTTATATAAACACACACTCAACCAGACGTATGTTGGGGAGTTATATAAACACACACTCAACCAGACGTATGTTGGGGAGTTATATAAACACACACTCAACCAGACGTATGTTGGGGAGTTATATAAACACACACTCAACCAGACGTATGTTGGGGAGTTATATAAACACACACTCAACCAGACGTATGTTGGGGAGTTATATAAACACTCAACCAGACGTATGTTGAGGAGTTAAATAAACACACACTCAACCAGACGTATGTTGGGGAGTTATATAAACACACACTCAACCAGACGTATGTTGGGGAGTTATATAAACACACACTCAACCAGACGTATGTTGGGGAGTTATATAAACACACACTCAACCAGACGTATGTTGGGGAGTTATATAAACACACACTCAACCAGACGTATGTTGGGGAGTTATATAAACACACACTCAACCAGACGTATGTTGGGGAGTTATATAAACACACACTCAACCAGACGTATGTTGGGGAGTTATATAAACATACACTCAACCAGACGTATGTTGGGGAGTTATATAAACACACACTCAACCAGACGTATGTTGGGGAGTTACATAAATACTCACTCAACCAGACGTATGTTGGGGAGTTACATAAATACTCACTCAACCAGACGTATGTTGGGGAGTTATATAAACACACACTCAACCAGACGTATGTTGGGGAGTTATATAAACACACACTCAACCAGACGTATGTTGGGGAGTTATATAAACACTCAACCAGACGTATGTTGGGGAGTTATATAAACACACACTCAACCAGACGTATGTTGGGGAGTTATATAAACACTCAACCAGACGTATGTTGGGGAGTTATATCAACACATACTCAACCAGACGTATGTTGGGGAGTTATATAAACACTCAACCAGACGTATGTTGGGGAGTTATATAAACACACACTCAACCAGACGTATGTTGGGGAGTTATATAAACACACACTCAACCAGACGTATGTTGGGGAGTTATATAAACACACACTCAACCAGACGTATGTTGGGGAGTTATATAAACACACACTCAACCAGACGTATGTTGGGGAGTTATATAAACACACACCAGACAGTTATATAACACACAGACCAGTATGTTGGGGAGTTATATAAACACACACTCAACCAGACGTATGTTGGGGAGTTATATAAACACACACTCAACCAGACGTATGTTGGGGAGTTATATAAACACACACTCAACCAGACGTATGTTGGGGAGTTATATAAACATACACTCAACCAGACGTATGTTGGGGAGTTACATAAACACACACTCAACCAGACGTATGTTGGGGAGTTACATAAATACTCAACCAGACGTATGTTGGGGAGTTATATAAACATACACTCAACCGGACGTATGTTGGGGAGTTATATAAACACACACTCAACCAGACGTATGTTGGGGAGTTATATAAACACTCAACCAGACGTATGTTGGGGAGTTATATAAACACACACTCAACCAGACGTATGTTGGGGAGTTATATAAACACACACTCAACCAGACGTATGTTGGGGAGTTATATAAACACACACTCAACCAGACGTATGTTGGGGAGTTATATAAACACACTCAACCAGACGTATGTTGGGGAGTTATATAAACACACACTCAACCAGACGTATGTTGGGGAGTTATATAAACACACACTCAACCAGACGTATGTTGGGGAGTTATATAAACACACACTCAACCAGACGTATGTTGGGGAGTTATATAAACACACACTCAACCAGACGTATGTTGGGGAGTTATATAAACACACACTCAACCAGACGTATGTTGGGGAGTTATATAAACACACACTCAACCAGACGTATGTTGGGGAGTTATATAAACACACACTCAACCAGACGTATGTTGGGGAGTTATATAAATACATACTCAACCAGATGTATATTGGGGAGTTATATAAACACACACTCAACCAGACGTATGTTGGGGAGTTATATAAACACACACTCAACCGGACGTATGTTGGGGAGTTATATAAACACACACTCAACCAGATGAAACAAGTTACATAAACACTATGACTTTTTAGTGTTATACAGACCATACGTATGTTTAGTTATATAAACATAACAATCAATTTTACCAGATACTAGAACTGTTGTTTGAGAGTCAACTTATACCAACCAACAGACGTATGTTCTGAAAGGGAGTTATATAACACACACACTTACACACATGTACAATGTGTAATGGGACCCACTCCTCTGTCCTCAGATGGATCAGCCACATCAATCATGCTTTCTATCAAATAGTGACAGAATCTGCTCTATTTCCCGCGATTGGACCAGTCTCTCCTGTCTCAGGAGGCAGAGACCAACTCCTTGGGCAAAACTGATTCACCTTCATACAAAAATGTTTCAGATCAAATTATTGTTTTTTGCGAAATTCAACCATTCCTGCAGGAGCAAAGGATTTTAGAAAATTGAAATTTCCCATTTTGCACCCTGCCACTCTTTACCAAGGGGCCAGAGACCTAGTGTTTCAGACCAAATTTGGGCATAATCTGATCAATAGTCCATGACCATTAGCAATTTGTAGAAAAAGTTAATGGATGGACATGCAATGAATATCTGCAGTATGGCATAAGCTTATCAGGTCTTTGGACCTGATGGACTTAAAATTACAACAGCAATAAACAACATTCATTTTTCACATTACACACTGTATGTTATCATTGTTAATTCTTTATCCACCAGGTCTTGGCACTCATTAAGGCTGCCACATAACACAAGGCCATCATCAGAAAGTTGATCATTAATTTAGATCGCAAAATAGAAGTAAATTTACTGACTACAAAACAAAAAATATATTTGAATTTAAAGTGTCAGAAATGGTCCAGTTTTAGAAAAAAATGGTACCAGCAATCTTACTACAGGTGTTTGACCCATCAACCCTACAAGACTGCCAAGTATAAATCTGTCTTCATCAGCCAGGTAAAAAGTAGATTACTATGTGAATGACTCGGACTGCCCAATCTTTTCAGCATCATTAATTACTCTCTCCATTTCAGTCTTTTGTTTTAGTATTTTCCCACATCATCAAGATGACTGAAGGTTTTACGTAGTTTCTCCTTTTTTCCTCTATTGTGATGTTTTTTCCATGGTTTTTCCACCACCAGAGTCTGCATGCTGCCATACGGAGAAGAGGTGCGACTCGACTCACCAGCTCCTACTTGTGTTAGACCTTCAATCCGTACATAGTTTCTCACAGTGCTGCTGCCTTTAGCATGAATCTTTGGTTCAGCCTGAAATTTTGATAAGCAAATCAATCAAATGTAAAAAGCAAAATTATAATAAAAATACGTTTCACCACTAAAACTTCCAGGATGCTTGAAAATGATCAATGAAAAATGGAAACCTAATTTATCAACCCCAATAACTTGTACAACAGTCCAGTAACACAATGTCTAATGACTTGGACGGCCTGTTTTTACAACACATCTGATAGTCCTGTAGTCTAAAACGATTTAATTACTAAAAGCTCTGTGTTTTGTGTGATGAAGTCACTACACTGCCACTCATTTTAAAGACTAAGCAGAAATTCCATATTTTAATAAAAAGATCAAGAGACAAAGTTATGACCTTTGATCTCACCATATATATGGTACAAAAATTGAACATCAATTTGTACATCAAAATCACAAAATTCAATAGTTACGGTATCCAGCATTATAATCTAATTTCTGGAGAAAAGTAAGATTATATAATTGTCAACATAACAGGAGAGTAGGGTGAACAATACTTACGACTTACTATGGTAAAAACAAAAATAAATATGGAAATGATAATATTGAGTGAAAATTCTAGAAACAATGTTATATTAATGTTTTGATGATATGTACAAAAAAAAATAAGATTAACTGTTTAAAAACTTGAGGACTGTAACTCTTTTAGATAAAGTCATGCAAATCAAACTCCTCAGGGAAATACAAGTTCCTGTCATGGAAATTAAGTTTACCAAGTTTGAAAGAAGCAAAATGTGGAAGGAGATCTTAGGACAATAAAGTTTTTGTGGACAACACAATAAAATTCTATGTCACAAATTAATGACAAGAGTAGAAAAATTAGAGTAATTTAAATGAAAAAAAAACATAAAATAAAACCAGTAAACTACAAGTTAATCTGATTTATTTTCAAATGAAATGATTTTTAGATATCTACAATATAAAGATTTGACTACTGATGTTGTCTGTTCTATAGATTACTATATTCCTCTGTACAACAACAAACTAGATGAAAAAATTCCATTTGAAAAACAAAAACCTGATTGCTGTGTTTATACACTTACTTTGGCAAAAAACTCCCTGTCCAGTCTGTTGGGAACTGACAGTGGTGTCTGAAAAGAAAATAAACTATATTCAGTGTAAAAGAATTTAGTACCGGAATCAAATTTATAACTGAAATGACAACAAAAGGTCCAAAGGTTCTACATTACTCACCTGGTATTCAATACTTTTCAAAATAAGTCCTTTTACATGACAGTGTTGGTAAATCAGAAACTATCTGAAGGGATTTCCATTTTTGACTCGTCACCTTGAACATGTGTCAAGGTGTAACTTTATTGGGCTTCGTCCCAGTAACTTACCAAGCAAATATCCTCATTCTAATTGATAAACTTTAAAGTCTATTCTTTTATCTGCCAGAAATTGAATGATGGTTTGGAAAATCTTCACACCTGTGGATAGGTCAAGGTAATTTCTGTTGTGCAAAATTTGTCAGGCTTTGTCCCAGAAACGTATTAGCCAAATATCATAAAACTAGGACTTTTGGCTACTCAAAAATTGTCATTTGAAGGTATTTACAAATGTGACCTTGAATAAGTGTCAAGGTCATTTTTTCACAAAGTATGTCAGGCTTTTTCCAAGGAGCCTTTCAGCCAAATATGGTTTAGGTTATTTAGATGTTGTTTCATTAAACAAGAGGCCCATTGGACCTGCATCGAATACCTGGTTTAGTTTGCTGAAATTGATCAATCGAAACTAAAGGCAAAATAACTTTCATCCATTTCCCTGTAACAGACTCTCCTCCAAAAGGAGATAAGATGTTTGTACCAAAAAGTTCACGTCACCAAGAATGTCTTCAATTGCAAGAGAAGAAGGATTTTAAAGAACTTGCTCTATTTACACTATCTGTCCACACCCCTCCTGCCCCAAACAGTTGGAACTCACTGTTAATACAAAATTGATCCCCATCTTCCAAGCATGTCTCAGATCATTTTGGAAAAGAATCAAAGTATTCCTACATACATGTAAAATGAATGATCTTAAAGAATTTGCCCTATTTCTGCTATTGGGCCCTACCCCTTCAACCCTAGGGGGCTGAGATCTACTATTTATAAAAAAATTATAAAAAAAATTTCACCCAAACATGCTTCAGGCCAAATGGGGATAGCACCCAGATATTACTACAGAAGAAGGATTTTAAAGAATTTGCTCTATTTCCTCAAAGGACAGACACCCTAGATTTATACAAAACTGAATTCTCTTCACCAAACGATGCTTCAAACCAAACATAAGTAAAATCCAATGATTCCTACAGAAGGAGTAGGACTTTGAAGAATTACTCTATTTCCCCCATTGGGTCTGGCCCTTTTGTCTTAAGGGGCCCTGGGACCCACCATTTATACAAAACTGATTCCTTTTCATCCACGAATGTTTTAGACCAAATATTTGCAAAATCCAAAGAGGGGTTCACACTCTCCATTTATACAAAACTGATTTCCCTTTCACCCAATCACACTTCAGGTTAATTTTTGGCTATTATTCTGAGATTTCTGAAGAACAAGACAAATTACAAAGAAATTCATTGATTTTCACTATAGGGCCCTGCACTTCCTGTCCCAGGAACCCAAGACCAACTGTTTATACAAATATGATTTCTCTTCACATAAGCATGCTGCAGACTAAATATTGTACAATATCCTGCATTTCAAGAAGAACATGATATATTTTAAAGAAACAAAAAAGATTTCTCCTTTGGACCCAACCCTCTGAACCCAGCAGGTGGTCAGACCCACTATTTACAAAAAAACTGATTTTCCACCACCCAAGCATGCTTCAGACCAAATCTGGACATTATTATGGATTTTCTGAATAACAAAATAGATTCTTAAAGAAATTGATAGACTTTCCCCATTGGGTCCGGTCCTTTAGCCCCAGGGGGGTCAATTAGGAGGTAACTTGAAATTAGAGAAAGAAGTAGAAGATTCCATATTGATTTGTAAAGTGGCACATCTAATTAGACAAGAGTGCATTACTAGTTGGGTTCATACTGGATTCGCATGTAGTCAATTTAATTTTTCATTATATATCAGACCTATTACAGCCATTAGGAATGGTCCATAAATTTCAAATGATACTTTGGGATGTCATGAAATAAAAATCACATCAATTCTTCATTTTACATTGATACCATGGTAACTACTACGTGTCTAATTGTTTTTGTGACTGTGTTGAATTTTTCATCAGGACTTATAGACTGACAATGTATTAGAAAGATTACTATATCTATCATTTGTCTGTATAGGAAAACCATTCTTAATATTTCCTTCTCTTGGACAGATTTAATAGTTTACAAACATGAATTATCAAAGTTAGATCTGTCTTACACTATCTGGGGCTCTTTTCGTTGCGATAAAGGTCGTGCGAGTCGGCTTGAATGTCTCAACATCTACATCTGGTGGAGGATTGCAGTAGAGAAGCTTTCCCTGTATACAAACAAGTAATGTCAAAAATGAACAAGACATTTAATTAAGCGTGATTTTAATTTATCTAGATATTTCAAAAAGCTAAATCTCATATTTTGAAGAATCATTTGACATTATTACAAAATACAACAATACCATTACCCTATGTCAAAGCACATATGATCCTAACTCTTTTTTATCAACACAAAATCCTTCTTGAGTAAAAAAAAACATTAATGTGAGTAGATCTTAGATAAAAACAATTAGTTTGTTTCATCATATCTTTTTTAAAATGTAAGAAATGTTTTATGCACTGCCTGGATATTTGGAATTTCCGTAGGTGTCTTGTGGCCTCAGACGTTATGTTAGAGCAAAAAATTGATATGTGTTAGTGTTTCTATAGCATATTATCTGTTGTAGACAGTAACTCACAATGTAACACACTATACTGTCATGTACTTTTGAATAAAAATTGGCCGCATGAATAAATTTTCAATCAGAGTCACACCTGTTCTCAATCTAAATGCCTCAATGTATTAAAGTGTTCACATAAATTTCTAATTAAGGTACATTTTCAGGTTTACATCAAGATAAGACACAGAATTTTCATGTTCTTGTGTTACACTCGGAATCATAATGGTCATAACCAACATTAGATCAGCAAGTTCCATCTGCTTACTTACATTGACAAAATCCTTCAGGATATATCTTGATGTTCTGGGACAGTCGGGGAGTCCATTGGCGGTCATGTAGCCTCGCATGTCTATTATAGAGATTAGGAAATGGTTGATTTTTTAAAACAGCAAATAGTTAGCACAAAATGAATTAGCAAGTTATATAAAGTAGTTTATACAATATATATATAGTGACATAATTGATGATCACATCAGTTAAATTCTGATAGATATTGATTGAGCAACTCTGCAAAAATCCTGAATCTACAGACCTGATAAAAAGCTAACAGAGGGACTTACATCCATAAACATTGAGGAGTTCTCCAGCTGTTGGACATCGGTTTGGGTCCTCCCCTTCTGCTGGTTCAGGCAGGTTAATGGAGTAGGTCTCTTCCAGTATTTGTTTTGGGATCAGTTGACAAACCTTGCTTTAGTCAAGGATATTGAATAATGTATTTCTCAACATGTTCATAAAACTGAACATTGATGTTTTAGGATTAGAATGTCAGATGAAAACACTGAAAATGACAGTCTCAATATGCCCATTTTTCTTAATACATTTTTGGAAACATTTTAAACAATGAAGCTCATTTTGAAATATTGTGATATCTGTTATCTCAACACCATAAAATATACAGATATAATTGGAGCATGTTTTGATGGTCATTTAAAGTAAAAACAAACTAGAGACTTCTGGCTAAGTCATCTTCGATCAGAAATAAAATATTCGTGACAAATCACCTTCCAATACATTTCACTTCTAATCACCTCTAATCATTAGAGAAACAACTTTATGCCATTCAGGGATATTACTTAGTTTCCCAATACAATGTACTTTTAGATTTCAGGATCCTCAGGATTTTAAAATAAGATTTGATGCTGCAGATACAAGATTCCATTCAATATTTGATTATTACAATTTTAAGAAAACTCCTTAAAATGTATACCATATTTCCCCTACAATATGCCCTAGGAAGCCTATATACTTCTGTTTTTTATTCAAAGAAATGGGGTGGGCTTATCACTGGATTACGAAAACATTTCTACTGCACTGTAATGTAATATTTGGGGTCAAAGTGAAAGATAAAACATCATTTATCAGAGTATACTGGTTCATACGATTAAGTTATTTATAAGATTTAAGAACAAAATGTTTGATCATTAAATTAATGCTGACTTGCAAGCTTTCAAAGCCAATTAAAAAGATTTCAAATTTCATATAAAATTGATAACTGTTTCATTTTAGCAAGCCTCTGGTGAGCTAGAAAATTAATGAAAAAATGTGCCTTCCCTTGTAATCTATGTAATTACGTATTACATGGATACAGTATACATACTATGTTATTCAGGACATGAGTTATCATTTTTCTTGCTAAATAAACCTGAAATTGCTTACCATTGAAGAAAAAAAAGTTGCTTGTTATTTTTAAGTTTCTACAGTACAACATGTCTTCCCTTCAGAAATATTAGCTCTACCTCACCTTAAATGTCTTTATTGTGGAATCATAAAGCATTTATCCTGTTTACATGATATCATTTGTTTGACCATCTCCTGGTGTCTAAATAGGTCATATTAAATGAGTTTATATGCAATGTCCACATATGACACTGGCTGTTGCAAAAAAGGTTAAACTTAGTGTTAAAAAAAACTAAAAAGACAAGATTTAAAAAAGAAAAAAAATTAATGTTCACAAATATGATACTGGCTGTTGCAAGGATGTTAAACCTTGCAAAAACAAATACAAATTATATGCTTAAACAATATTAAGGTATGAAAGTAATCACACATACAACAGCTATGTGCTTTAATCAGGATCACACACAATATTCAATTCATTCATGTAAAATTGATGAAACAAGTCTTCCATTTTTATATTTAATTAAACCTCTGGCAAGTTTGATAGAAATATGAGAAGAATTTCATAAATTTCATATGCTTATGGTAATGACTTCAAGATTATTTTATTCACATTTGCAAACTTAACTGAAAATAGCAATTTATTAGACTGATAAAGGATCTAATTTAGCAATACTGTTAAGGCTACCTTAAGTATCACTTTGGAGGCATCACAATTACATTAAACCCCATAAGGTCTTCACCCTGGAAACAACAGTAACATTTAGCCAGTCATAACTCTAGTTGGTCTTACAACATATATATGCATGTATAGGTAAATTCCTTACAATGGTCGCTGGGAAGTTCTGTTATATTGTCATCAATAATGATTTTAGGCCTAATGACTGATCTAACGAGATGTTTCATCACTCAGGGATGCTGACTTTCACAAGGATACAAGAGAGGTAGGAGGTACATGGTCACGCATCTGATCAATAGGCAGAATTCCATTTACCACTAATTCTGCCTTTGTAGAAACAAACGAAGGGAAGACAAGTCCTGGACAGTCACACAGCATTAGGTCAGAGTCCACATACAGCGTCTGTAATGATAAAATCATAGCATGTGATAGTCCTGGACAGTCACACAGCATTAGGTCAGAGTCCACATACAGCATCTGTAATAATAAAATCATGCATGTGTTAGTCCTGGACAGTCACACAGCATTAGGTCAGAGTCCACATACAGTGTCTGTAATGATAAAATCATAGCATGTGTAAGTCCTGGACAGTCACACAGCATTAAGTCAGAGTCCACATACAGTGTCTGTAATGATAAAATCATAGCATGTGGTAGTCCTGGACAGTCACACTGCATTAGGTCAGAGTCCACATACAGCGTCTGTAATGATAAAATCATAGCATGTGTAAGTCCTGGACAGTCACACAGCATTAGGTCAGAGTCCACATACAGTGTCTGTAATGACAAAATCATAGCATGTGTTAGTCCTGGACAGTCACACAGCATTAGGTCAGAGTCCACATACAGTGTCTGTAATGATAAAATCATAGCATGTGGTAGTCCTGGACAGTCACACAGCATTAGGTCAGAGTCCACATACAGTGTCTGTAATGACAAAATCATAGCATGTGTTAGTCCTGGACAGTCACACAGCATCAGGTCAGAGTCCACATACAGTGTCTGTAATGATAAAATCATAGCATGTGTTAGTCCTGGACAGTCACACAGCATTAGGTCAGAGTCCACATACAGTGTCTGTAATGATAAAATCATAGCATGTGGTAGTCCTGGACAGTCACACAGCATTAGGTCAGAGTCTTCATGCAGTGTCTGTAATGATAAAATCATAGCATGTGGTAGTCCTGGACAGTCACACAGCATTAGGTCAGAGTCCACATACAGTGTCTGTAATGATAAAATCATAGCATGTGGTAGTCCTGGACAGTCACACAGCATTAGGTCAGAGTCCACATACAGTGTCTGTAATGACAAAATCATAGCATGTGTTAGTCCTGGACAGTAACATAATGTTAGGTCAGAGTCCACATACAGTGTCTGTAACAATAAAATTATAGCATGTGTTAGTCCTGGACAGTCACACAGCATCAGGTCAGAGTCCACATACAGTGTCTGTAATGATAAAATCATAGCATGTGTTAGTACTGGACAGTCACACAGCATTAGGTCAGAGTCCACATACAGTGTCTGTAATGATAAAATTATAGCATGTGTTAGTCCTGGACAGTCACACAGCATTAGGTCAGAGTCCACATACAGTGTCTGTAACAATAAAATTATAGCATGTGTTAGTCCTGGACAGTCACACAGCATCAGGTCAGAGTCCACATACAGTGTCTGTAATGATAAAATCATAGCATGTGTTAGTACTGGACAGTCACACAGCATTAGGTCAGAGTCCACATACAGTGTCTGTAATGATAAAATCATAGCATGTGATAGTCCTGGACAGTCACACAGCATTAGGTCAGAGTCCACATACAGTGTCTGTAATGATAAAATCATAGCATGTGATAGTCCTGGACAGTCACACAGCATTAGGTCAGAGTCCACATACAGTGTCTGTAATGATAAAATCATAGCATGTGATAGTACTGGACAGTCACACAGCATCAGGTCAGAGTCCACATACAGTGTCTGTAATAATAAAATCATAGCATGTGATAGTCCTGGACAGTCACACTGCATCAGGTCAGAGTCCACATACAGTGTCTGTAATGATAAAATCATAGCATGTGTAAGTCCTGGACAGTCACATAATGTTAGGTCAGAGTCCACATACAGTGTCTGTAATGATAAAATCATGCATGTGTTAGTCCTGGACAGTCACACAGCATCAGGTCAGAGTCCACATACAGTGTCTGTAATAATAAAATCATAGCATGTGATAGTCCTGGACAGTCACACTGCATCAGGTCAGAGTCCACATACAGTGTCTGTAATGATAAAATCATAGCATGTGTTAGTCCTGGACAGTCACACTGCATTAGGTCAGAGTCCACATACAGTGTCTGTAATGATAAAATCATAGCATGTGATAGTCCTGGACAGTCACACAGCATTAGGTCAGAGTCCACATACAGTGTCTGTAATGACAAAATCATAGCATGTGTTAGTCCTGGACAGTCACACTGCATTAGGTCAGAGTCCACATACAGTGTCTGTAATGACAAAATCATAGCATGTGATAGTCCTGGACAGTCACATAATGTTAGGTCAGAGTCCACATACAGTGTCTGTAATGATAAAATCATAGCATGTGTTAGTCCTGGACAGTCACACAGCATTAGGTCAGAGTCCACATACAGTGTCTGTAATGATAAAATCATAGCATGTGGTAGTCCTGGACAGTCACACAGCATTAGGTCAGAGTCCACATACAGTGTCTGTAATGATAAAATCATAGCTTGTGATAGTACTGGACAGTCACATGATGTTAGGTCAGAGTCCACATACAGTGTCTGTAATGATAAAATCATAGCTTGTGATAGTACTGGACAGTCACATGATGTTAGGTCAGAGTCCACATACAGTGTCTGTAATGATAAAATCATAGCATGTGTTAGTCCTGGACAGTCACACAGCATTAGGTCAGAGTCGACATACAGTGTCTGTAATGATAAAATCATAGCATGTGTTAGTCCTGGACAGTCACACTGCATTAGGTCAGAGTCCACATACAGCGTCTGTAATGATAAAATCATAGCATGTGTTAGTCCTGGACAGTCACACAGCATTAGGTCAGAGTCGACATACAGTGTCTGTAATGATAAAATCATAGCATGTGTTAGTCCTGGACAGTCACACAGCATTAGTTCAGAGTCCACATACAGTGTCTGTAATGACAAAATCATAGCATGTGTTTTTTTTTATTAAATTTATATCTCTCCCAAGGAAAAAAAGAAAAGTGGGCCGGGATACACCATTTATACAGAAATTAGTCCCCTTCACACAGAAATACTTCAGACCAAATCTGGGCACTATCCAGTTATTTTAATAGGGAAAGTAAGATTTTGAAGAATTTGAACAATTTCCTCTTTTTGCCTCTGCTCCTAAGGCCCCTATGACCTGAGCACGAATCTTAATACAAACTTTGCTCCCCTAAACCCAAGAATACTTCTGACCAAATTTGATGATATCAAATATAATAAAGAAGGAGTAGAATCTTAAGGAATTTGCTCTATTTCCCAAAAAGGGTCCTGCCCCCACCACACTAGGGGCCAGAATTCACTGTTCATACACATCTAATTCTGATTTATCCGAGAATATTTAAATACTTATCTAGATTTATTTTACTGGACATTTACACACGTTTAGGTCAGAGTCCACAAACATTGTCTGTTATTACAACAAAACACTCAATAGGCCATAATAGTCATCATACTATAACGACACGTCATTGATATAATAACAGAAGTGGTTGTGGGAATGTTCATTTGTTTTTCAAGATAAAGATCATAATGGCAAGCAGTAAAACTCTTAGCAAGGTCCATCTCAGGGTCATTTGAAGTAAGTAGGATCTGAATTCAACTGGTGAAACATCGCCACCAATTTCCAGCTCAATGGTACCAGACAAACTAGATTTTTGCTAAACATGTTCTTTTCTATGTAGACATACCTTTTCTTACTGCTAATCTGGTAACAAATACCTGAAAGTGCAACTTATTTCCTGACCAACAGTTGCCTCCCGTGTTTGTATCTGGCATGTTAGTAGAAGCACATGCAAGTTTTAGGACTTCGGAAAGCGTGTCCCAGTCATTACTCAGCATATTATACCATTATAAGTAAGCAAAACAATTTGTAAACATTTTAATTCTCAACAATAATTCCAATAAACACCTTATCTTAACTTCTGTAGTTTATCTCAAAATTCTTTGTTAATTTGTTATTTCACAACAACATATGTCAATTATCACAAATGACCTAACCGAGACCTTGTTTTCTTCTAGAGGAACATTCGCACTTGCATAGCCTGTTTTAGAATTGTTTACAACATTTTGTTACAGAAGTTACTGAACCATGAACATTTCTAATCATTTTAATGTATGCATTCATCTGGTTTTGAACAATGAGATGAATATTTTATTAGGTAGAGTCAGACTGGACCATAAAGTTCCTGTTTAGGAAATTTTATGTACATAATCATTGAGGCGTGACCTTATATAAGGACAGTCAAGTAAATCATGTGAGACTTCAATCAATAATGCTAATAATGCATACCAAAGTCAATGAAATAGTAGGTAAAACAACCCAAGTGTGATGACAGTGTCAGGTGTGAAAGAAAAAAAGGAAAAAAATCAGAATGCTCTCCTGTCCACCAGTACCAGGTGTGATACGTAAAATGTGTGATTCTGGTTGGTCTCCTAAACTTTTTTAAATTACCTGTATATGACAAGATGGATCAGTTCCTCAGTAAAAGTGTTACATTTTTAATGATATGTCGAGGTATTTGATACACTCTTTATTAGGCCATTCTAAAAAGCTTACAACAACAAATTGAAGCATTACCACACAAAGACAAGGTGACTTTAAAACTGCCTTTTTGTGTCCTTTGAACACAACATGTTTGTTACATGTACCACTGTCAGCTGACACGTACACATAAAATTTTATCATGGAAATGCCTTGGTGGGGAGTACATTTAATCAATATAATTAAAACCTAATTGTTTGTGTAATACAGAGTCAGTGGGTTGTGTTAATTTGGTAATCGCCAGCATCTAGATAAGCTTTCCCACAGGATGCCCTATCTCTTGTGATCACCAATCAAATGATGACTGATTATTTTTCAATTTCCCCATTGCCTTCTAGCTAGGGACAGATATGTTGCCACTTCCCCCAACCCCAACATCACACATGTAACAATAGATTGTATGAACAGTATCATCAATATTAACACATATACTCAAGGGATAAATAAACACAGGGTTAAACTTTGAAGATGATTCTAGGCAAGACGTCAAGTATAATGTTCAATATTTCTTTAGTAAGAATGAAGATTAATCCATACAGAACAAACTTCAAAATCAACAATTTGTATCTTATAAGTGACTTAGGAGTAATTGATGAGAATAGAAAGAGAAATCTGTAATCTGAAATCGAAATGGACTGATTGTGGCAGTGGGCTAGTCAATACCAGGTACCGGTATGTTCCCCATTGGCTCTCTCCACAGCCCTGATTCTCCTAGGCATGGAGTTAATGAGTGAGTTTATCCTCCTCATTGGAATGTTGGCCCATTCTTCCAAGAGAGCTACTCTCAGTTTGGCCAGAGTAACAGGGGCTGGCGGCAGTTAAATTACCCGCTACCACAATCAATGGTGATTTAATTCCATGTAAGATTCCTACCCACATTATCACTAATCCACCCCAAAAAATATCTGTCTCTGATACACAGCAGTCAGCAAATCGTTTTCCATAACGTCAGTATACTCGACCGTCTGCTTGAAACAGGGTGAACCAGGACTTATCAGTAAACAAGACCCCTTTCCACTGTCTCAATAGGGATATACTGGGGGCATGTGCGTCACCCAAGTGATACGACACTGGCGACAAGCAGTTGTAAGGGGAAGACCTACAAACAGGTAACATGCCTACAGACCAACTTCCCACCATTGTTTCCTTACAGTTTTCTCATGGACAGGATGATGACGAGTATCTATGAAGAGCAGTAAGGTGCCGATTGAGCAAATGTGTGAGATGTATAAACCTGTCCTGACGCTGTGACGTTCATGCGGACGCCCAGACCTAGGCCTGTCAGCAGCCCACCCTGTTTCCTTTAGACGTATAACAAGGCATTCTATAGCACAAATATGGACACGAAAATGTTTGGCAACCTGTATTTGCCTTTGACCTTGCATAATCATCGCAATGGCCTGACCCCTCTGAACTTCCGTCAGCCGTGTCATTGATTAATGCTATCAGAAATTAATCAAAATATCGGAAAGTAATGTGTCTCTATGAAGACTACCTAATGGTATGACGAGCAGTTTAACTCCATTTCACAACACTGCTGTGCACAAAATTTTCCTGTTTCATGCTTTCCCAGGAGGACAGGGTCAAGCAATTAAATAATGCAACATTTGATACAGGACAACGCGCACTGTAACATAGAGAGTTGCTTGACAGATTCTCATTTTTTTTTAACAACACATTTGCAAGATATTGCAAATAATGTCACCCTGCATTTCTTTATCATTGCAGTATATTTCAAGGGTCATTTGTGATATATGACCATATATGAGAAAACTACTTAAACAAAAACTTGTTGTATGGGCAAGGAGAAAGATAAGAATTTGGATGGTCAGACAGCATAACTCTCATGCTGACCAGCCAAATTCTTACATAAAGGTTGAGATATCAAAACCCATGGAACAGACCCATTTCATAAACAATTCTATTATCTACTACAGACTACCCCTGTTCAAGCAAGGGAAATGGCTTCCACTTATTACTAAGCGTGAAGGGAGACAGAATACAAAAGGGGCTGTGGTGTGTTTTCTGTGTGTATCAATTACATGGGAGACTTTACCTCTGTCAACAGAAACAGCAAAATACCTATGTGAGCATGCACGATCAAACCCCAAACTAATATATTTAATTATCAGCTGCTTTGTAGATCATACCTTTCTAGTTCTCAGGAAGTGCTAACAATCTAGTAACAATTTCACTGACAGAACAGAGATATCTTAAAAAACATCAAAATCCCATAACAAATTATGAAATCAGATCAAAGAGAGACAACTCCATGATCGAAGTGTGAAAGACCAAATTGCATACCTTTCAAATAAACGTATATGCATGTGTACAGTTTGTATCCGATATACAGGATTCTGAGTATCAAACGTTTCATCACTGCCAGATATAGAAAGGATACAACAAACTCACAAGAAAGGGTTTTTAAATTGTAACAACAAAAATCCAGCACAATTTGTTTTCTTATTAGAAATGCGAAAATAACCAGCTCAATTCCCATTCCTAGCAATCATCATTTAATGTGAATCATCACTAACAATTCACACAGATTTGTTTGTCCAGTCAGGTGTGATAGGGGATATGTATTCTGATTTCTATACATACATTTGTATTTGTACAAGGAAGCCAGTTTTTCAACAATCCATTCACTTTTGCTGGTGGAGTCTAAAAATTCTGAACATGTGTGTACACTTTCTGTCAACTCCATAGGAATTGGTTACGGAATGATGACAATTACAGCTGTTGTTGGATTATACTATACAGTCATCATCTCTTGGACACTTTACTATTTTGGGATGTCATTTTCCTTCACACTGTAAAATTGAGTCAATTTTGCAATTCGAGCAACGCCCCTTGTCACAAGTGCTCTAATAACCTACAAAACAGCTGTAAGATGCAGTTAAACTTATTGTTTGGTTCCACGTTATCTAATGCAAAATTGATATTAAAATGTGTAATTCACTTAAACTGTCCTCTTCTCCCATGTTCTTGACATTGTTATCAGATATATGAACATTATGAAATTGATTGAATCATGGGGCTAGTCAGAAGGTGTCTATTTAAACTTTGACTTTTGTTTTGGTCACTTTAGATTTTCCTCAGTTTTGCCTCTTAGGCCTCAAAATTCCAGTGTCCATTTAAAATTTAAACAAAATTCCACAGATTGCAGTATTTAAAGTCCAGACTTGATATTTTTGAAATTACAATAAAAAACCACAGGGAGTAGTGTAAAAGGAGCCGGTCAGTATGGCAGTGTTGAATTTTATTTTGGCTCCGTTGCAATTGGTAGAGGTGTGGATTATCAGAACAGAGGAACGTGCATTTTCCTGTTCTATTACACTAATATAGTTAAGTAATGGAGGTTCATAAATTCAAATTATTTCCTATTCCCAGGGCTTGACAATAACACAAACTTCAGCCCAGGTGAGCTAAAAGCAGAACTGTCCACAGCAGAGCAGCTTATAAGTCTATGATACACCTTATTTGTATCAAGACGCTAAAAACATGCTGATACTTATAATGTAATTAAGCTTGAGTACAACACAACTTCTTAATTTTGCTTTTTCTAATACTGCATTTTTTTTTCTAATTCAGAATTTTTCATATTATGTAGCTATTCTAATGAAACTTTTTTGAAATGATAACATATATAATTACATCCAACACAACTCCATATTCTACAAGCAAAAAATCATAACCTAACAATCTATGCTATCATATGGACATGAACATAAAATTATATTCTAAATTAATGCATGCATTCCATTAAGAACAAATGTCTCCAAATTCTAACCTGAAAATGTTTTGTCCTTCCTGGAGTAGCAGACACAGGAACCTTCTTACTTCTCAGGATAGCATTGATGCTAGAACTCTTTCCAACATTGGGATAACCAACCTGTCGGCCAAGACCAGAGAAAACAGTCTTAATCACGAATTCAGAAGTAAATCAAATAATTATGTTTCACCAGTGAAAATTCTGAAATCTGCTCTGCAATGACTACTCTAAGGCTAGGATGGGGGCTGTCAAAGCAAGGACTGGGCTAATTACAGGACAAGTTAGTATTTGCTTAATGCTTTACAAAACTACGAAAGACATGGGTGGACATAAATATTTGTCTTATTGCTATAGACGGTATTCATCATTCTGGGCAATATAAAGATTAAACAACATCTACAATACAACTGATTGTGTTATTACAGTGTTTAACATCCTCACAACAGTAATTAGATAGTAAGGTAGATAGCAACATTCAGTATTCTAGTATCACTTTCCTGATGAAAACTGAGAGGTGTGGGATCACCTGACCATGACAGTCTTCTCTATGTAACCTAGTTACCTCCCTTACTAATATCACCTGGGCGCTTCAGTCAGGACCAACACCAGTGATTAAGATCAATTACAAAGATGGTGTCATACATTGTTATATAATAATGAAGGTTTAATATTTTGACATTTGTCCAATGCTAATTGTAGATGTTGTGAGTTTCCTTCGCAGAATCAAATAATCATCAACATGAAATTCATATAAACTATTTAATTTGTAAATCTAAATACATAATAAAATAAACAAAACATGTATTCCTATTTAAATTTGTGTATTTTAATGTTTTACACTTATTGTGAATGCTGAACATTTACTGTGAACATTTAAAACTTTAATTTTCAAAACAAAATTACCATTCCAATAGTTGTTTGTCCTTCCTGGCACTTTTTCCCTGTATGCAGAGATCTGAACATTTCCAGTAACTCTAATCCATTCAGAATTTTACCTCCACTTTCTGGATATGTTAAGAATTCCATATCTTCACCTACCCCACCTATAGCACCATCCTGTGTATTGTCTGCAGCCTGTTCACTGTCTGTTGTAGCTCTATCAGTGTTGAGCTGTGTTTGGGAAGTTTTACTGTCATTATCACCAGTAACTGTATCTATATCCTTTTCTGTTTCAACCAATACATGTTCTTTCTGCATGTTCTCGTCACTCACAACACAATCTGCTTGTAGTCTGTCCGTCATTTCATTACCTACTTCATTTCTTTGCTTATCATTATCATTTATATCCTCGTCTTCATAATCATCACTGTCATCAACTTCTTCTTCCAATTCATCCATTACACTTTTACCTTCCTCTTCTTTCTCCTTAACATAGAACAACAGCCATCTTTCAATCAATCCCAACACAAACCATGCAAATCTAGTTATAAAAAGAAACCTGCCAAGGAAATCTGAGAGAAATCCATTCACTACTTCAATGAATGGTAAAAGCTGTAATTGTTTAAGGATAGTTGAGTCACCAACAAATTGTGATTTCAACAGATCTGATGTTGGTTGTCTGATTAATATCAACAAAAGAAAATTCATAAAGAAATATAGAAGCTCAGATTCTCTTTACAAAGTCTATATCTCCTATCTGACCTCATTTTGTCGTGCTGTCTCCTCCAGAGCTGACCAGAATGCCACTTCAACTCCTCTTTCTTTGAAATACTTGAACCACAAGTCTCTGAAAAGCAAATATTAGTTTTGTATAACAGATTGCGATTTGAGGGAAATACATCACAATGATATGTAATTCTACATACAACTGGGGAAACAAATTCCTATTGATAAATTTTATTCCATACATCATTATAAAAAGTTATAGAAACTACTCACTCCTACAGTTACTGAAGTACATGTCCACATACCACATACAGCCATAATTTGTTCAATTTGTATAACTGATTTACTCTGTAAGGTTATGGCTCCATCACTAAATTCATTTTCATCATTTGAGTTTTAAAAATGGTGAGGAATTTCACATTGAAAAGTTTACGGCCTTGCTGTATCATGGATATTTCATCAACAACTTCAAATTTGGCTAAATACCTTAAATGTTAGAATGTTTTTTAATTATTTTTGTTTTTGTTTCATTTTCAGTATAATCACTTTTCTGACCTTTGTAATGCAGTGAGGTAGTCTGCCTTGTTAATAAGGATTAAACTTCTCTTGCTTGGATCTACCTCCTGGACATAAGCTTCTAGATCTTCACAACGAAATAACAGCGGGTTTCTGGCATCTACAATCTGTACCACCAAATCACTACAACAGAGTATACAAAATTAATATCTACATAATCATATGCAAAGATACTAGACAGTAGTTCAACACTTACATATAATAATAACACTATTATCATGTAGTATTATTTAAACGTATATATTGAAGTTCAATGTTTCCCAGAACTCTCCATAAAATTGGCACTCCTCTCTGCTAAATACCAACCACCAGAACTTTCTTCTCTTAACATTCCAGTGGTTCTCTGACATAAAGTAGTTGGACTCTCACGTGATATAACAAACAATGTTGACCAATCATTGTGTTTCTTTTTGTACTCAAAGTCCTATAAGTAAACTCAAAGTCATGTAAGTAAACTCAAAGTCATGTAAGTAAACTCAAAGTCATGTCAGTAAACTCAAAGTCATGTAAGTAAACTCAAAGTCATGTAAGTAAACTCAAAGTCATGTAAGTAAACTCAAAGTCATGTAAGTAAACTCAAAGTCATGTCAGTAAACTCAAAGTCATGTAAGTAAACTCAAAGTCATGTAAGTAAACCCAAAGTCATGTAAGTAAACCCAAAGTCATGTAAGTAAACTCAAAGCCATGTAAGTAAACTCAAAGCCATGTCAGTAAACTCAAAGTCATGTAAGTAAACCCAAAGTCATGTCAGTAAACTCAAAGTCATGTAAGTAAACCCAAAGTCATGTAAGTAAACTCAAAGTCATGTAAGTAAACCCAAAGTCATGTAAGTAAACTCAAAGTCATGTAAGTAAACTCAAAGCCATGTCAGTAAACCCAAAGTCATGTAAGTAAACCCAAAGTCATGTAAGTAAACTCAAAGTCATGTCAGTAAACTCAAAGTCATGTAAGTAAACCCAAAGTCATGTAAGTAAACTCAAAGTCATGTAAGTAAACCCAAAGTCATGTCAGTAAACCCAAAGTCATGTAAGTAAACTCAAAGTCATGTAAGTAAACTCAAAGTCATGTCAGTAAACTCAAAGTCATGTCAGTAAACTCAAAGTAAACTCAAAGTCATGTCAGTAAACCCAAAGTCATGTAAGTAAACTCAAAGTCATGTAAGTAAACCCAAAGTCATGTCAGTAAATCCAAAGTCATGTCAGTAAACTCAAAGTAAACTCAAAGTCATGTCAGTAAACTCAAAGTCATGTAAGTAAACTCAAAGTCATGTAAGTAAGCTCAAAGTCATGTAAGTAAACTCAAAGTAAACTCAAAGCCATGTCAGTAAACTCAAAGTCATGTAAGTAAACTCAATGTCATGTAAGTAAACACAAAGTCATGTCAGTAAACTCAAAGTCATGTCAGTAAACCCAAAGTCATGTCAGTAAACTCAAAGTCATGTAAGTAAACCCAAAGTCATGTAAGTAAACTCAAAGTCATGTAAGTAAACTCAAAGTCATGTCAGTAAACTCAAAGTCATGTAAGTAAACCCAAAGTCATGTAAGTAAACTCAAAGTCATGTAAGTAAACCCAAAGTCATGTAAGTAAATCCAAAGTCATGTCAGTAAACTCAAAGTAAACTCAAAGCCATGTCAGTAAATCCAAAGTCATGTAAGTAAATCCAAAGTCATGTAAGTAAACACAAAGTCATGTAAGTAAACACAAAGTCATGTAAGTAAACTCAAAGTAAACTCAAAGTCATGTCAGTAAACCCAAAGTCATGTAAGTAAACTCAAAGTAAACTCAAAGCCATGTAAGTAAACTCAAAGCCATGTAAGTAAACACAAAGTCATGTAAGTAAACTCAAAGTCATGTCAGTAAACTCAAAGTAAACTCAAAGTCATGTAAGTAAACTCAAAGTCATGTAAGTAAACTCCAAGTCATGTAAGTAAACTCAAAGTAAACTCAAAGTCATGTAAGTAAACTCAAAGTCATGTAAGTAAACTCAATGTCATGTAAGTAAACTCAAAGTCATGTAAGTAAGCTCAATGTCATGTAAGTAAACTCAAAGTCATGTAAGTAAACACAAAGTCATGTAAGTAAACTCAAAGTCATGTAAGTAAACTCAATGTCATGTAAGTAAACTCAAAGTCATGTAAGTAAGCTCAATGTCATGTAAGTAAACTCAAAGTCATGTAAGTAAACACAAAGTCATGTAAGTAAACTCAAAGTCATGTAAGTAAACTCAATGTCATGTAAGTAAACACAAAGTCATGTCAGTAAACTCAAAGTAAACTCAAAGTCATGTAAGTAAATCACAGTCTCACTGTGTATCTTTATTTGCCAATTCCTAAACATACTAAAAAAGTGAATAAAAATCAAACTATTGAATGTCAAAGTGTAATGAAACTCTGCTGAAAACTCTCGCCATCTGAAAGATCATAGCACAAAAACAACTGGAAACTCATGTTTGCATATAGTGTGTAATACTGGGTTAACTTTACCAGCAATTAACTATTACCTTCTTTCAATAACCCTCCAAAGCTGCCGCCAGAAGTCAAGATTTTTCTCATATGGCGTAAGTTCTATACCTTCCACTTCTTGTAGGCTGAAAGTCACATGACATGCATGGTTAATCAACAAAAGTGGGAAACAGACAACAGCTACAGCATGACCAAACTTCTTTTATAAAAAAGAATTACTTTTAAACATCAATAAGAACTGTCACATCAACATAATAAATTTCTAAAAATGTGAAATATTTTAAGTTGAACTTGATCCTTGTGGCAGTAAATCTTATTTAAAGACTATCACATTCATGCAATTTGTAAGCATGTGTATGAAAGATGAAAATATTTTAAAATTCATACCCAAAATGTATCAACGTCAATAAATCATATTTCATTGAAAAACAATGTGAACCCATACCCCAAGTATGGAGTTCTAGTGACAAGTAGTGTAGACAATTGAGCCTAGAAATGATAGTGGGAGGAGGGGCAAAAGGGGTGACTACAGTCTCTCAAAGCAAATAAAGTTAACATGTGGTAACTCAAATCAGAGCTTTCCATAGCCTTAAAAAAATAAGAATACTCAGACTTTTTATGGACAACCATTCAGTTTTATTGTCTTGCCAAATAATCAAATGTGTTCAACTCGAATTGTATATATAATAAATAGTCTTACCTACTTGATGTTAAAAAGAATCAAATACCTTGTCAAATAATATAAGTTTCAAATCACATCAATTCATAGTCATCAAACTTTCTGAAACCAGTTTTTAACAAGAGCAACATTTTATTCTTTCCTCGATACTCCAGGGGTTATGGTCACTTTTGCTCTCTGCAACCCTGGAGCATGTCATGGCATATTTGAAGGCACAAGCAAAGTAACAGTTTCAGGAGAAACGAGACCCATCGTTTATACAAATTTGATTCACCAAACAGTGCTTCAGACCAAATCAGAGCATAATCTTACCATTCATACCGGAGGAGTAGGATTTTATAGAATTTGCTCTATTTCCCATGTTGGGCCCCATCCCTCTCGCCCCAGGGCATTTTGGGGCCCCATCCCTCTCGCCCCTGGGCATTTTGGGGCCCCATCCCTCTCGCCCCAGGGCATTTTGGGCCAGGTGAGCTAAAAACCTGACCAATGACATCCTGATATGCTCCTTTTGAAGGTACAAAGGAGAGGCACCTAACTTCAAAGCCATTCCAATATACCATTATATGACCTTCAGGTTCATTCTATTTACATCAAAGGATCAAACTAGTCTTGTCCACAATGTGTCGCACAGGGAACCTTCAATTTTGCCATGACATGTTCCAGTCCAGGGGTGCAGAGAGGGAAAAAGATTGAAATCCCTGGAGCATTTAGGACCCATTTTACTTTTGATTCAAAATGTTCTTGATATGTTTTTTTTTTGTAATTCCTAAAATTCATTACTGTACCTTGCTAATGTCCTTCTCCACTCTAGGAATGCATCTTTTTCCTGGCGATCCAACTCTTCCGGTGTTGTGGTGCTGTTCCACGCAGGTCTTAAAACAGAAAAACCAAAGTATTGCCAAGAAGAAATATTAAGTTAAATGTGGAGCATTTTACAGAAATGATTTTAAAACAAGGAGTTAATATTCCTTATATCTTTCTGTTGTGAGTTGTTTCTTCAATAATTTTGTCAAATATAAAATTTCAAGCATGTTTGCTTGTAAACAAGAACTTTTCTGTGCACCAAAGACAATAGTATCCAGGATGTTTTCATAGTGTCAATCTGAGTAGCATGATGATAACATTCAAAAGACAAATTTCTACAGTAATGATAGTTCATCAGAATTCACTGCATAGCAAGAAATCCCAGTCAGATCCACCATTGCTTAGTCTTCATTTGGTCTTTTCAAGTTGGATCATTTCTCTTTTCATTCTGTCCTTTGTTCTAAGTTTTCATTGTAAGAAATTTGAAAATTTCAACAGAAAGAGCAATAACATTAGTCAAATACTACATGGTTGCCTGTCAGCCATTTTGTTTTTTTTATCAGTCCCAAAATCAAAAGGGCACAATTCGAGATCAAGGAAACCTACTATGCAATATGAGAAACATCCCTCCAATACTTCTCCAGAAATAGTGATCACAAACTTTCAATTTCAAAATGCAAGATGGCAACCTGTCAGCCATTTCGTTTCTCAAATTAGTCACAAAACCAAAAAACAGACTACGGACAAAGGGGAATTTGAGAAAGATTCTGACAGTACATCATGGAGAAATAGTGATAACAAGAACTGTTTACGGAGAGACAACCAGGCACTGATGAATGGCAACTACAATAATTGTATGTTTGAATCAGAAACAAAGAAACCATGACAAATGTATGCATTTAATTCCTGTTTTCTGTGATATTGATGATAATAATTATTGTTTACCTTCTTGGGATTTTGAGCACATTTCTATGTTTCTGTTGTAATTCGTCAACTTCTAGTTGCTGTTCTGTCGTTAATAATCCTGAATGTTTGTTCTTATCTACAAATGTTATATTCAGCTTCTCTGAAATCAAGTAAAAAAAGTTATTTATAAAATCACTATTGTACCAAGTTTGAAAGGATACTGTTACAGTACTTCATACATATCAAACACATCATGCAATAAGAAAACTAGGGTGAAATAAGCAAGAGATATCAGAGGGATCTTGGTGCCCACCATTGTTTGATCTTTATTTGTTCTTTAAAAGTTTTTCCTTTTTTCCTCCTCTCTCTGTTATTGCTTTCAATTATATGAAATTTCAACATTCCTCTGAAGATATAGCAAAAACAAACTTTCATTGTTGAACTCCAAGATGGCCACCTGCCATCCATTTGGTCCAAAATCAGACAACCATAACTAGGGATCATGGTGAACCTACATATGAAATTCGAGAGAGATCCATTTGTTCCTTCGCAAGAAATAGTAATAAAAAACTTTCATTGTGAAAATCCAAGATAGCAACCTGTTGCCTGCTGGCCATGTAATTTTTCTGATCAGTTTCAATATCAAATGGGCACAACTAGGGACCAAGGGAAACCTATATATGAAATCTAAGAAACATCTATTCAGTTATTTTCAAGAAATAGCAATGAAAGAATTGTTTATTGATGGACAGACCATGGACAAAGGGCCATTTGAATAGCCCACCATCTGATAATAATCAGTTTTACATCTTTTTATATTATAATGACAAACTCCTTAACAGATACTGCATTACATGAATGTATGCAGAGGCTTGCAAATATTTAGATTTGTTGGGTTAAATTGGTTACAGTAATTAACATGCATGGTTTATTTACTAAGAACATGACACAAGAAGGAAATTCTCTAAGATCGCTAATCCTGAGTGAAAAATGAAACTTTCTAATTAATTTTCAAAACACTGAGCCATTGTGATCAAGGTTTGTTAGATGCATATTGCGTTATCTGTTGCCACTACATTAAACATCAACAATAGTGGCCACTACAGTCAAGGAAAGGTGTTGTTTATATTCCTGTGCAGCTTATATCAGGATGAAATAAAATAAAAAAAATCAATAAAAACTGGATCTGCGACTTATAACCCATTAAATATGGCATATCATACTTGTTCAATCAATAGTTTTATCAAACTTATAACTAAGTGGTGATTAGTTAGAGTTGAATGCTGACAATCTTTGCCAACTTTAATAAAGAGAGTAATATATATCGTTCTGCAAATAGGTAAATTTCAAGTATTCCAACATTCATCGAAATGAAATGCACAAGAAAGCCAAAAGCTAAGCATTGAAAGGGTTTTGGCCACATTTTCAGCTTTAAGTAAATTCTGTTACATATAATCCAAATAGCTTTACCACCAATATGTCACTGCTGAAATAAGCCACCATACCTAATCTTAGGCAGTTTAATATCATTGTTATGCATACATGTCAAACTTAATGAGATGAATGGTCACATGCTACATGTGATGTCAAAGTGTTGATTGGCCATGTCTAATATACAAACAGTAGTAAAGACAGACATTTCACATAAAATCAGGATTTTTTGCTATATCCTTGATTGACAGTGAAACATTTTACTTTAACTAAATGCTACGTATCATTCATTACAAACCTGAGCAAACTGCTGGATAGAAGAATATTTGGTGAACTATTGAAGTAATAACATCTGAAAAAGTGGATGAAAAATAACAAATCCAAATTACCTGCAGTGAACTCTGTTCCAGCAAGTTCTGCTGTGCTGAGGAAATCCTCTAGGTTACTCTGTTCTGTGACAGACTGGAGATTAAGACGACCCCAATCATACCCATCTTGAAGCTCACTAGTATGTAGCTAGAAAACAAAAACACATATAAATATGATGTCTGATAATGGAATCTTCATGTGATCAAGACAATTCCTAGTTTTAGTTTAGACCCACACAAAGTAATAAACAAATTAAATGGACTCCCTAAAACTTAACTACTGAATGTTACTTATCATGAACTTTTCTTCCCAAAGTAACATGTTGGGTACGACCACGGTTATGCACCATGTTTTGTATTGCAGGCAGGTAACTCTTATCAATGCACAGGACAGTTAGTCTGTTATGCACAAATATAATAGGCTGTATCTGGAAGGAACAAACCCTACTAAACAGATTCTTTCCTTTAATAACTAAATTGACCAATTAATGTGTAGCTTTTCAAACAAAAAGAAACGAGTTGTCTCTCATTAATCATTGACTTCATCCAGTGTTGTAATATTTTTCATTTCCTTTAATCAAGTTACTGAAACTCAATTATTTTTTATCTAGATTGTTAACATCTTCAAATTAGACTGCTCTTGTAGCTCACGTCTACTGTTGCGAGTTCAACAGATGCTTGTGGACACGAATGTGATTTTTTATTATTAAATATGGTAAGTTAATGGAGAATAAACCATTTTAAAACGCTATCATTATTCCAATTCACAAACACATGTGGCGAGTCCAGCATGTAAGCGGACCAGTTTATATATGCGTCGACTACCTCCTGCATTAGAAGCTACCTAAGGTCTATATGGTAGAGTTTATCATAATGCTTGTAAGGATATATATATATGGTAGCAGTATGGTCTATGGAGTGTAAAATGAAATCTTACAAAGTTTTCTCGATCGGTCCCTCGGGATACAGTTTTGCGTTTACCAAATCTATCGCTGATTAGACTCTTTCCCAGATTCCCTGCTTGTTTCTTCTTTCCCATTTCAAGGCCGTCAGTGTATTTCCACCAAGTACACCAAGGCTCTCATGTCATCAGCAGCTACTTGTCTACACCAACACGTGAATTTCACAATAATGTCAAGGTTATGCAAATGCTTCCGTACTTCATAATCATATATATTAAAAAGAAGCGTTTGACCGACCATACCCCTTCTTGTTCTTAACAAGCGTCGAGTCGGAATATTGTCCGGCCGGATTTTTTTAATTTAGATTTATCGATGTAAATAAAATCGTGAGAGAGGTGTGACGTTTAGTTTAATCTGGAACTCTCTTTTCAGTGGATCGCCGTGGCCGCTTTAATGATGTACATCGTCCCAACAGTACTTGAAATTAGTGTCAGTAGTGATGTTCAACATTAACGATTAAGCAGGTATATATAAAGGAAAAAGAAAATGCCAGATTGCTGCCTTATACATGTATACAATGTAGGGCCGGGGTGGTTTGGGAATTCGTGTCAAGTCCCTTAAAATGCTCTGACACTATCTGGTCACCCCTTTAGTCTCTATTTTGATGGCAGACAAGAGCCCGACAATATATATATATTTTGTACTGCGATACAATTTTATATGGAGTGCGAATTTTCTGAAAATTCAAATCTTTTATCTTTTTGTACTGTAGACTATGTTCTATGTATTATGTGAAAAAAATATGAAAAATCGTTATTTCGTATCATATTTGGTACATTAACAGTAGATAACGTTGGCAAAACAACGTTTACTTTCACATATGTAGGCTACCCACAACTGACATCTGCCGGAAGAATGACTAAAATTTTAAGATTTTTTTAGTATGTGATACACATGGTACGAATTGTTATAAGGAGTTTCATATGGAATTAAGTGCCTTTTGTTCTGTGGTATACTTTTACCTATCTTTCTGTATCACTGATGATACCAATATATACGTCAAAAATGTATTCCTTTGCAGCGTTACACTTTTTCACAGTTTTTCTGTCATCAGTGATGCAATAAGTAAATAAGTAATACTATATATCTAAAAAGTGTAGAGCTGTAGAAAAATTGTAAAAGGACAGGAAATGACCCTGCATAGTAAATCTCTAATTACAACGTCAAAACAAGATGCGAGTTTCGTTAATCAGATGAAAACAGAGTTAATTAGAATTGTGAGTATCGGGGCTCGCCTTGGGTTCATTAAAGAGCTGAGAAAACATCGGTAAATTTTCGATATTCCTGTTGTATTTATAAACTTCCGGATCATGGCCGTCATGTTTCTCAAATACATATATAATCTTAAAGTATAAAACGGCACAGTTTTTTATCGTGAGATGTTGTATCAAATTGAATATGTATCATTGTCACATTTGGATCCGATCATGTAATGTGCATAAGCGTGATACATACACAAACAAACAAAGCATATCTCGGTTAATACATGTACTAATTTTTTTTCTGAAATAATTCATCAATATATCTACATTCCGGTTCTCCTTACTCAAATGTGACGATGTTTCTGGAGGTTTGTGTAGTATACTGTATTTCTGGAGGTTTGTGTAGAATACTGTATTTCTGGAGGTTTGTGTATTAAATTATGTATCTGGAGGTTTGTGTAGTATAATATGTTTCTGGAGGTTTGTGTAGTATACTATGTTTCTGGAGGTTTGTGTAGTATAATATGTTTCTGGAGGTTTGTGTAGTATACTGTATTTCTGGGTGTGTGTGTAGTATACTATGTTTCTGGAGGGTTGTGTAGTATACTATGTTTCTGGGTGTGTGTGTAGTATACTATGTTTTTGGAGGTTTGTGTAGTATACTATGTTTCTGGAGGGTTGTGTAGTATACTATGTTTCTGGAGGTTTGTGTAGTATACTATGTTTCTGGAGGTTTGTGTAGTATACTATGTTTCTGGAGGTTTGTGTAGTATACTGTATTTCTGGAGGTTTGTGTAGTATAATATGTTTCTGGAGGTTTGTGTAGTATACTATGTTTCTGGAGGTTTGTGTAGTATAATATGTTTCTGGAGGTTTGTGTAGTATACTATGTTTCTGGAGGTTTGTGTAGTATACTATGTTTCTGGAGGTTTGTGTAGTATACTATGTTTCTGGAGGTTTGTGTAGTATACTATGTTTCTGGTGGTTTGTGTAGTATACTATGTTTCTGGAGGTTTGTGTAGTATACTATGTTTCTGGAGGTTTGTGTAGTATACTATGTTTCTGGAGGTTTGTGTAGTATACTATGTTTCTGGAGGTTTGTGTAGTATACTATGTTTCTGGAGGTTTGTGTAGTATACTATGTTTCTGGAGGTTTGTGTAGTATACTATGTTTCTGGAGGTTTGTGTAGTATACTATGTTTCTGGAGGTTTGTGTAGTAAACTATGTTTCTGGAGGTTTGTGTAGTATACTATGTTTCTGGAGGTTTGTGTAGTATACTATGTTTCTGGAGGTTTGTGTAGTATACTATGTTTCTGGAGGTTTGTGTAGTATACTATGTTTCTGGAGGTTTGTGTAGTATACTGTGTTTCTGGAGGTTTGTGTAGTATACTGTATTTCTGGAGGTTTGTGTAGTATACTGTATTTCTGGAGGTTTGTGTAGTATACTATGTTTCTGGAGGTTTGTGTAGTATACTATGTTTCTGGAGGTTTGTGTAGTATACTATGTTTCTGGAGGTTTGTGTAGTATACTGTATTTCTGGGGGTTTGTGTAGTATGCTATGTTTCTGGAGGTTTGTGTAGTAAACTATGTTTCTGGAGGTTTGTGTAGTATACTATGTTTCTGGAGGTTTGTGTAGTATACTATGTTTCTAGAGGTTTGTGTAGTATACTATGTTTCTGGAGGTTTGTGTAGTATACTATGTTTCTGGGTGTGTGTGTAGTATACTATGTTTCTAGAGGTTTGTGTAGTATACTATGTTTCTGGGTGTGTGTGTAGTATACTATGTTTCTGGAGGTTTGTGTAGTATACTATGTTTCTGGAGGTTTGTGTAGTATACTATGTTTCTGGAGGTTTGTGTAGTATACTATGTTTCTGGAGGTTTGTGTAGTATACTATGTTTCTGGAGGTTTGTGTAGTATACTATGTTTCTGGGGCTTTGTGTAGTATACTATGTTTCTGGAGGTTTGTGTAGTATACTATGTTTCTGGAGGTTTGTGTAGTATACTATGTTTCTGGAGGTTTGTGTAGTATACTATGTTTCTGGAGGTTTGTGTAGTATACTATGTTTCTGGAGGTTTGTGTAGTATACTATGTTTCTGGGGCTTTGTGTAGTATACTATGTTTCTGGAGGTTTGTGTAGTATACTATGTTTCTGGAGGTTTGTGTAGTATACTATGTTTCTGGAGGTTTGTTTAGTATACTATGTTTCTGGAGGTTTGTGTAGTATACTATGTTTCTGGAGGTTTGTGTAGTATACTATGTTTCTGGAGGTTTGTGTAGTATACTATGTTTCTGGAGGTTTGTGTAGTATACTTTGTTTCTGGAGGTTTGTGTAGTATACTATGTTTCTGGAGGTTTGTGTAGTATACTATGTTTTTGCAGGTTTGTGTAGTATACTATGTAACTGGGGGTTTGTGTAGTATACTATGTTTCTGGAGGTTTGTGTAGTATACTATGTTTCTGGAGGTTTGTGTAGTATACTGTATTTCTGGAGGTTTGTGTAGTATACTATTATTCTGGAGGTTTGTGTAGTACACTATGTTTCTGGGGCTTTGTGTAGTATACTATGTTTCTGGAGGTTTGTGTAGTATACTATGTTTCTGGAGGTTTGTGTAGTATACTATGTTTCTAGAGGTTTGTGTAGTATACTATGTTTCTAGAGGTTTGTGTAGTATACTATGTTTCTGGAGGTTTGTGTAGTATACTATGTTTCTGGAGGTTTGTGTAGTATACTATGTTTCTGGAGGTTTGTGTAGTATACTATGTTTCTGGAGGTTTGTGTAGTATACTATGTTTCTGGAGGTTTGTGTAGTATACTATGTTTCTGGAGGTTTGTGTAGTATACTATGTTTCTGGGGGTTTGTGTAGTATACTATGTTTCTGGAGGTTTGTGTAGTATACTATGTTTCTGGAGGTTTGTGTAGTATACTATGTTTCTGGAGGTTTGTGTAGTATACTATGTTTCTGGAGGTTTGTAGTATACTGTGTTTCTGGAGGTTTGTAATATACTGTGTTTCTGGAGGTTTGTAGTATAATGTGTTTCTGGGGGTTTGTAGTATACTATGTTTCTGGAGGTTTGTGTAGTATACTATGTTTCTGGGGGTTTGTGTAGTATACTATGTTTCTGGAGGTTTGTGTAGTATACTATGTTTCTGGAGGTTTGTGTAGTATACTGTATTTCTGGAGGTTTGTGTAGTATACTATGTTTCTGGGTGTGTGTGTAGTATACTATGTTTCTGGGTGTGTGTGTAGTATACTATGTTTCTGGGTGTGTGTGTAGTATACTATGTTTCTGGAGGTTTGTGTAGTATACTGTGTTTCTGGAGGTTTGTGTAGTGTATTTCTGGAGGTTTGTGTAGTATGTATACTGATAGAGCTTGGTGTGGGGTTTGTGTAGTATACTGTGTTTCTGGAGGTTTGTGGGTCTGTAGTATACTGTGTTTGTGTTATTGGTAGTGTGGGGTCTGTAGTATACCGTGTTTTTAGAGCTTGGTGTGGGGTCTGTGAGTATACTGTGTTTTGTGTAGTATACTGTGTTTCTGGAGCTTGGTGTATACTGTGTTTCTGTGTTTTGTAGAGCTTGGTGTGGGGTGTGTAGTATACTGTGTTTTGAGAGCTTGGTGTGTGTAGTATACTGTGTTTTGAGAGCTTGGTGTGGGGTCTGTAGTATACCGTGTTTTTGAGAGCTTGGTGTGGGGTCTGTAGTATACTGTGTTTTGAGAGCTTGGTGTGGGGTCTGTAGTATACTGTGTTTTTGAGAGCTTGGTGTGGGGGCTGTAGTATACTGTGTTTTTAGATCTTAGCGTGGGGTCTGTAGTATACCGCGTTTTTAGAGCTTGGTGGTGTGGGTGTTTTTGAGAGCTTGGTGTGGGGTTGTAGTATACTGTTTTTGAGAGCTTGGTGTGGGGTCTGTAGTATACTGTGTTGGTGTGAGCTTGGTGTGTATACTGT